GGACCCGTTCCGCGTGGATGATTAATGAGGATGTAGTTTACTAACTTACGAATATAGTTTTTCAATCTTAATAAAATACTTTTACTAATAAGTCAAACAATTTATATATTGAGATGCATAGACAACAAATTAAGCATCTGAACAAAGATTCTATAGAACAGTCATCTAGGATGTAGTAAATCCAATTATTCAACCTTATGCAATAGGCCTTTCATGTCAATAAATTCCTATCTTAGTCTCAGAGGCCTTGGTTTCTGTTAAAACAACGAGTATGATATGTGCTCATGTGAATAATCATAATATATTTAGAAATAGGCACCGAGTGATGCATATGGCTATGCTGTCTACACAAGAGTTATAGGCACTTTACATGGAACAGGTACATACACTAAAGCTTAGCAGGGCAGCCACCGAGCCATATATTACATAACACCGATATGAAGACCATGCGAATACTGCCCTCCTAGAGACTGTAGGCTTCGCTTAACTTAGGTATTTGGTCGCCGAGTGTGGCATGACATATTCGGATATACGTCCCCGGAGAAGAAGTTATTAGCGGACCATTTGTGTTCTCAATGCTCAATCCACTACAGTAGTATTTCCGTCCAAAGTTCGCAGTGTGAGCACGAATCCCCAGTGCTCTAGCAGTTTTACTGCCCGGTAGGAAGAAGTACTGCATAACACTGTCTTCTAGAGGAGGGTATTCATAGTAGGATGACCATTCGGATATGATAGAGAACCGGAAGAGGATCGGATATCCCAATGTTGCTCTAAGATGTGGGAGAAATATTGTAAAATACAGATTTCCTATATTTGCCCAAGTCAGGAATACCATATCCTTATTTTGGTTACGTGTAGGATAGAATCTCTATATCATCTTTCACCCCAAGTTGTAATATTGATTGAGTGATAAACTTGAAGATTCAAGCGCTCTGTGCCATCCATCTCTCGTAGCACTATCACATACCAATCAGGTTTTCAAGGTGACTTCACCCCGCTTAGTGTGATAGAGCCACTTGAGTGACAGACCCTTGTTATTGGGAACTAAAAAGTGTCACTGCATAGCATTTGTGATAGTGACGCAGGGTGAGCAACCCGGCGATGATCATTGGAAACTCTATCTGATGTCCCATTTCGCTCGAAGAAACTCTGCTATAAAGCTTAATACGAAGACTTTACTGGATCATCTACACGATTACCATAAAGGATGTTTGAAAGTCTATGTCTGTGGGGAAAGAGAGAGAGAAAAAACGAAGAAGAAGAAGAAGAAGAAGAAGAAGAAGAAGAAGAAGAAGGAAAGTAAAGGAGATGGAAGGCAAAAAAAGCGTAACATAAAGCACTCGGGGCAAACGATCCAAGGCTCTAACGGTGTGGGGTCCCTTTCGTATCTCCAATGAACCAACGGACGAGATCTAAATATATCTTACCAACAATAAGGTGAAACTTCTGCAGGATTGCCCCTGTGGTTCCATTTTATTTATGTTGGCTGGGTGATGGTATACCAACTCACCCAACTCCGTACCCGTTTACTTTGAAATCAAAAGATCGGCAGACACCCCGGTCCTGGAAGGGAGTTCACGATTCGCCTATGTCCGCCAAATGCTTTCAGTCTAAAGTGTGACGGAGATGTGCCTATGTGCTTAAGCCTGCATCTTGCTGGCGCTTAACGGGGGAGGGCGGCGATCATTGGCCAGCCGACCAACCCTACTCTGCCGCCCTTCATCGCCATCGAGTGATGCAGTCAGTGAACCAAAGACTATATAGCCGCCCAACTCTCCTCCGGTTTTTGAACCCTTTCTATTTCTTGATACACTGCTTGTTTGAGATTTCCTTTTAGTCTCCCTTTTTGTTCTATTTTCGTCTTCTAGTGTTTCGTTTGGCTGGTCCAGACGAGTGCTATTTTTTGAGTCTTCCTATTTTTGGATCTGCATTACGTCAATAATAATAGTATCATTTACACGCCCTGCGTCTAAGAGACCCTTCGTTGACCGAAGTGAATCGCTAGCGCTTTTAATATTCTTTTCCATTACTTTAAATCTCCTTCGCTCCCCCCAAAGCTGTGTCCAACCTCCACCTCCACAATGATCCCCACTGCCCGTGCTGCCGCAAGACCCAAGTTGAGCCTGAGCATTTCTACTGCGCAGAATACGTCTCGGCCTACATTGTCGCTCAAGTCCCCGGGCCCTCTCCCCCGGACTCCAATCTCCCCGTCTGCTCCCAGTCCAGCTTCCGCCCGGTTCTCCTCTCTTCAAGTGCCGAGTTATGGATACGTCAATTCGTGTTCCTCAAAGAGCATTCTTAAGAAACAATCAACAGCGGTCGCAGCTGGCAACGTTAACAAACGGATCCAGTTTAAGGGCACACCGACCGTCCATTGCGTGACGCCCATTGAGAATCCCGAGGAATACTACGGTACGCACACCAAGATGTCGCGCGAAGAGCGGCGTTGGATGGTGCGCGAATGAACGATCACCGGTAAAAAAACTCGATGAACAACACCTACGCAGACGGAACGAGAGGATTACTCAGTTCGGAGACTCTTCGCCCGTTGAGAAGCCATCTCCCGCGACCGTACCCGGCCCTAATTCTGGATTGACAATGCAACTTGCAGCACAGATGCAGCAGAGCCTGTGGAGGACCGTCCGCGCAGAGCGTCGGGCGTCTGGAACGAAAGTCAAGGAGATTAACGTCCCTATTGGATCGGAGGGCAGTCTGTCAATGTATATATGATCCTATTATGTTTATGATGTGATGATAAGATCCATACCACGTATAGCATGAGTGAGCATTAGCCTGGAGAAATCCAATTACAGTCGTTACGCTCCATCACTTGCGTCCAGACCCGTAATGTTGTAAAAATGGGTAGTCGTCCATGTACAGCTCTAACACATGTTTGTACTTTGTCTGACATCCATAGATAATCGTAATAACCAAGAAAAACCAACAGACACAACTAGGATTCATGATGCTCCTGCTCTGCGTCATTACCATTTTGGTCATGGTTTAGGGCACCCTTTGAGGGCTTCTGTGGCCCGTGCGACCGAACGTCAGGTCTTTTCCGCAGTGGCTATCGCCGTGTCCAGCCGGAGCACCATCTCTACAATTAACCCCAATGTTGCACTTGAGGACTCCCGTCGCGAGTTTTCGCAAGGCTATATGCAGCACAGCAAGAAGTAGCTGGTTTCCTCGAAATCGGGGCCTGCTCACTTTTGCTATTGAAACTTCTTGGTAAGACGATTCCGGAACTGAACCAAGCCTGGCTGCTGCTTACTGGTCTATCTGCACTAGCGATGACACTTCAGTCGCAATCGTTGAAAAGAATGAAACCACCAATGCCGCTAAGATCCATTTCCTTGAGAACGTAACGGCCGATTCAAACGAATACCGAGGTGTCCACCCTATTGCATCACTCGAGTCACATCAAGAAAACCTCGCGAAACTGGTTGATAAGGCGCTGAGGCATTTGCCCGTCGCTTCGGGCAATGTTGAAGGGCACCGATCGATAACGCTCGCGGATGGCTCCCAGCCGCGCTACAAACCGGACTTTGTGTCCGCTACTCGAGGGCCGGGGATGCGAGCAAATCTCTTTGTCGGCTTAGATACAGGGAAAGCGTTGTCAGTTGCGTGGCAAATCCCTTTCATGGGTGTTCATCATATGCAAGCTCATTTGTTGACACCCCGGCTGGTATCGTCTCTCAGTCAGAATCAAGGGACCAGTGGTCACACCTCACCGTCACCGCCTGTCACACCAGAGTTTCCCTTCCTGTCTATCCTTGTCTCGGGCGGCCATTCGATTCTTGTGAAATCATCAACTCTTACGGACCACAAGATCATGGTCTCCACCGCGGACATAGCAATTGGCGAGTCGCTTGACAAATCGGCCAGGGAGATTCTTCCTGATTCCTTACTGCAGAGTGCGAAGAATACCATGTACGGCAAAATGCTAGAGGAATTTGCTTTCCCAAATGGTAGCACTGATTATGCTGATTATCGCCCTCCGATGAACCGTGGCGAGGAACTCGTCAAGCGGGAGACCCCATGGGGCTGGTCCCTGACGACCCCGTTTGCTAATACTCGCAACCTGCAATTCAGTTTTTCATCTATTGCCAGTGCGGTCAAGAAGATCATCACACAAAAAGAGAAATCCGGACAGAGATTTTCCCAAGAAGAACGAGTCGATATGGCCCGCGAATCCATGCGGGTCTGTTTCGAGCATCTCGCCTCTCGGACGATCATCGCTCTTGAGACACTTCGTCAACAGAAGCCTGACGATGAGGTAAAGACCCTCGTGGTCAGCGGTGGTGTCGCGGCCAATCGTTTCCTCATGACTGTTTTGCGCTCATTCCTCGATGTCCGCGGTTTCAATCATGTCGACATTTTCGCACCCCCTCCGTACCTGTGCACCGACAATGCTGCGATGATTGGATGGGCTGGCCTCGAGATGTTTGAGGCGGGCTGGCGCACAGATCTCAGTTGCCGCGCTCTCAGGAAGTGGAGTCTTGATCCGCAAGCCGATGATGGCGGCGTTCTGGGCCCCAACGGATGGCAGAAAACCTAGGCCTCTCTTCGATGACGGTTATTCATTGCCGTCACTGTACACTAGTAATACCCTTGTACACCACTCAGCCGTTTACTTCTAGTCGATGTATATATACTCTCAAATTACAGGTATAGATAGACAGGATATGACAGTAATATTTTTTGGGTTAGGATTTTGTTTTCTACCAGATCTATCTGATCATCGTATAGAAAGGCGCTGCCCGGGTAGTCTTATCCTACATCCAAATATAGTGCCAACGACCTTTGTCGAAAAGCGCATGTATCCATGCTGCCCATCGAGTGATTTTGAGGATACTATCATCCAATCGGCCAGCGACCAGAGAGCTCCTGTTGTCCACGGCCCCTTCGAGGACCCAGCTTCCGCTGAATTTTGGCTAGAGAGTCGTGACGCCAGTGATTCCTCGCATCGACTATCTAATGATCAAAACTTAGGTCTCGAATCAACCACCCGCGACATTGTCACCTTGCCGCAGAGTGGTGATTTGTTTGCGAAGCTCGAGGAAGAAATCCTTGCCATTGGCCATAGTGTTTGCTGTAGCATGAACGTCAACATGACGAAAATGAGGGAACCAATCAGGCAGGCGACATACGTTTCGAGCCCCAAGGTCCAGAGCGATTTGTGTCCTTTCCTCCGGGTTTATAGAAGAAGGGCTTCGGCTCTACGAGAACGGTTAGCGACCGGATGGGTGTTTGCACAATGTCGCATGCTTCCTCTGATATGAAGTACCTCTTGAATCTAATCGTGCAGGTTCCGTTAGCAAATAGTATATCGTAGAGATACCATAGGCGGAGCCTACTTCTCTTGAGAGCCCCCTTCGCCTCGGCAGCATTGAAGCCTCGCACGGGGACATGTTGTTCCTGAGCTGGCCCCGTGGAAAGCTGATCACCCGACTCTCCCCAGGTGGTATTCTGGTTCTGTCCACCACGAGAGCCACTATGCGCGCTCATCGTTCTGGGCATGGAGTGCCTTTGTCCCGACTGACGGTTTTGGTCGTATGTGCGGCCCCCGCGCCATCTAGCAGGAGATCTCCGACGTTAGCATCAAGGGCGGCTGGGGGTAAATAATGAAATGGGGGGCATATATATATTTATATATAAAAGCTCAGGGTCGGGGGGAAAATCGAGGGGAAGACGATTACCGATCATCGCCAGGACCACTCATATTGGGAAGAGAGAAGCTCAATCAAATCAGATTGGATTGAATTATTTAAGCTGTGGGCTTTCAAAAGAAGCTCCGCGTTGATTAAATCGGACCAAAATGTCAGGTGGAGTCTCTCCGCCTTGTCTCAAGATGGTTTAGTGCCGCCGGGCAAGTGAGATAACGGACACTCCTCGCTTTCGCGTCTTCCCTTCGCCGCCGATGGCTGAGACACCTCTGCCCTTCATTTCTTTGCTATTTTGTGCATTTTTCGGCTGCTATTGAGCCATGGTTGACATTTCTTCTTTGCTTGACCCGGTTTCCTTATGCTACGCGGCACCGCGAGACACTGTTTGATTGCAACGTGAGGCTGAGCGACAAGCTCAACGACATTGATCAACGTCCATTCTTTTGTACACCATCCCATCCCACAACTGTCTGAGCATTCTTTCCGACCGCAGAAATGGCGCCATTAACTTCGAATAAATACCGGTCATCCCCCGGGAGGCCGCCTAAGACCCAATCCAAAGCCGTGCTGAAAGGCACCCAGAACTCAAACGCTACTCCTGGTGACGGGCCACCCCTCAAAAAGCGGAAATATGTCCCTGGTGGACCGGGTGGTGGAGGTAGATACATCGAGCTTGATGTGCGAGAGACGAAGCCGCCGAAGCCGGCGAAACCTGCGAGACCCTCCAAACCAGCCAAACCATCGCCAGTTCCACGCAACTCCACCCCCCGAACCCGCCATGCCCGAGAAGCTGAAGTTCAACCCATGCAGCTCCCTCCACCCCCACCTCCTGTCCCAACGACACCACCATCTGCGCGTCTCACCAGAGACAAAAGCCAAAGTCGGGGCGGCCGTTTCGGCTCCTCGACCGCTGCCGCTCTCGCTTTACAACAGGGGGATGGGTATAAGCCACGGGAAGAGCGAGGGTGGGAGGAGTTCCACCCGGATTTGGATATTGAAACGAAGTTTGTAGTCTTCCCTGCGGAGGAGGTGGATAAGCCAGCTCCGTCTGCGCATGTAGCCCATATCCTTTCTCCGAATGGCCTCAATCTCAACAATGACAAAGACCCATTAGCTGAACTTATCCGAGCTCATGCGAATGGCACGTCTCCCACACCTATCAAACGCCGGCCAGGGCGCCCTCCCCGCCGTCCTGAAGCCATTTTAAACGCTCTCGGAATTACACCACAACCAAAAGTTGTTCCACCCCCTGGTCCAAACCCCCGGGAGAGGCTAACCCTCCCTAAACCCTCATTTCGACTACGAGATCCATTTAGATTCTACGATCAACCAGGGGTGGGCCAACAAAACTATGTTGACCGGACAATGGCAAGTGTGGGATATCAGGAGAGTGATCTTTTCCTTCGCCACGATCGTCGATTGATACGTATAACTGAGGCACCACAGGAGGACGATCTCGACGCCGTCAACCCCGTGGGAACTGAGGAGGAGCCCAATACCTCTGTTGGGAGAGTAGAATATGATATGGATGAGCAAGACGAAAAGTGGCTGGAGGACTACAATGCAAGACGCAGAGAGGATCAGCTGGAACCTATCAAACCTGCTGTCTTCGAAATCACCATGACAAAGATTGAGAAAGAGTGGCATGCGCTCGAGAAGCGCATCCCCAAACCAAACCCAAAACCTCCTCAGACGCAGCGGCCTCGGTCAAGCTCTGCCGCTGCTGTGAATGGTGAAACCACAGGACCTGGAGAGGATCAAGATAGCAAATGTGCGATTTGCGATGATGGAGATTGTGAGAACTCCAATGCTATTGTCTTCTGTGATGGATGCGATCTGGCGGTGCACCAGGAGTGTTACGGCGTACCATTCATCCCCGAGGGCCAATGGCTATGCCGTAAGTGTCAACTGGTTGGGAGAGGAGCCGTCAACTGCATCTTCTGTCCCAACACCGAGGGTGCCTTCAAACAGACTACAACCTCGAAATGGTCTCATCTGCTTTGCGCTATATGGATTCCGGAAGTGTCTATTGGAAATCCATCGCTGATGGAGCCGATCACCGATATCGAAAAAGTACCTAGGAGCCGTTGGAAACTTCATTGCTATATTTGCCGGCAGCGAATGGGTGCATCGATTCAGTGCAGCAACAAGAACTGCTTCGTCGCGTTCCATGTGACTTGTGCCCGACGGGCTCAGCTCTATCTGAAGATGAAATCCGGCCACGGATCTCCCGCAGTCATGGATACGCACCTGCTCAAAGCATTCTGCGACAAACATGTTCCTCCCGAGTGGCGCCGGGAACATGGGACGGACGCTGCTACCGCTGAAGCCATGGAATACTATCGTAATACTATGCAAGGCCGGCGTTGGGGTGACAGTCAAGCTGCCGCGCTAGCGCTGGAGCCATCACACCCCCTCGGGTGTGAGCATGGGGACGATGAGGCACTGCGGACTCATACGCCACGCATTACGCTTACGGTTGGTGGGAATAAAAGAAAGCGGCCTACTATACCCAAGACTATCTGGAAACTGCCATCCGGCGCTCCCGTGATACCGCACGTTGTTCTAAACGCTGTTGCAGCCTCTCTTCAGCGCTTCGGTGTGCGTCAGCGAAAGCAATATGCCGAAGATGCGTGCAAATATTGGACACTCAAACGCGAAGCCAGAAGGGGTGCCGCATTGCTGAAGCGTTTGCAACTACAACTCGAGACCTTCTCATCTATGGAAATGACCAGGAGAGACTACGTCGCCATGGGAGCTGCCGGAGGGAAGCGGCTCCAACGTCGTATTGAGTTCGGTGAACGACTCTATCACGATCTAGATCGGTTGAGAACGATGTGCGATGAAGTCAAGAAACGTGAAAGGGAGAAGCTGAAGGATGCCGAAACACTTCGGAGTATTGTCGACACCGTCTACTTCCCTATATTCCCCTTGCTCTGGCCTATTTTTGACAAAGCTCAAGGGTAAGTATCTTTTCTCTGACTATTTTGGAGCTGTTACTGATGTCGATACAGACTTGACGGCAGGGGCATCTTCAGACAGGGGTTGGTCTCGATACGCACTAAGCTGGAAGAGCGCCGGTACACCTCTGTTTCTTCTTTCTCTGCCGATCTTGCTCGCGTGTTCACGTCCGAGATTGGGGTGCAGCCCGCAGGGGACACTGCCGAACTTCAAATGCAGATCAGCGGCCGCGCTCCGGAGCTCAGCCTAGAACAGCGCGAGAAACGGAAACTGGCCAAGCGCATTATCAAGTTCATCCAGCCTGCCCTGGAGGAAGCGATCAAGAAAGAAAGCGAGCTGAATCGTAAGCCCTTCGAACAGGAGCTTAAGGAATTGGACCTTATGCTCGAGAACAGCGTCATGTCGCGAAGGGGCTCACAAGTTGAGTCTCCGGCAGCTGGGGATGAGGGCTCGAAGAAGCCAGAGGGCCCTCATGAGAATGCTCAAGAGATCAATGGAGATGTGGAGGTGGCTGCTAAATCGGAGCCCTCTGATGGCACCGAGGTTACGGCTCTGCCCCAGCAGTCCGTTGATAGCGCTATGCCAGATGCAGACCAAGCCCAACCTCCGGACGGTGCTTCCGTATCTCAGACCCAGGGAGTCCCCGGGGCTGGGATATCCACTCCGACGGTAGAGGGTGAATTTAGCAAGCAAGAGAACCCGTCTGCCAATGCACCGACCACTACTCTTGAAGCACCACCAGCTCCAAATGGAGTCGCAGACAAACCAGACGAGAACGATTTAGGTTCCACCAATCAACCTACTGGACCACAGAGAGAGCCCTTGACGCCCCCTTCCAGCTTCAAGGGAGACCAACAGCTTCCTTTAGCACAAGGTGGCATCCAGTGGTATATGCAACCGTTCGACCCCGTGGGCACCACAATCCATGAAGAGCGATGGACGGGCCGGGATGTCATGCGCGGGATGAGCGAAGAACTCAGTGAGCTTGACGAGGAGGAGCTGAAAGACTTGGTCGACGATGAACTTGAAGGGGCGATGGGGACTGCCATCAAGGGATCCACCACCGACACTGGACCCGATGCTGCACCGGAGCAGGCCGTCAAGGTGTATCGAACTCGACGTCGCTGGCGTGGATTTAAATAGATGGTCGAAGAGATTCCCCGTTTGAGTCTTGTGTGTTTCGTTCTTCTTTTCTTCAACCTCTTCTATTCCTTTCTCTCTTTAATATTTTCTGCTTCTCCCATGTTTGTGTTTGGACTTATGGCGCGGATCGGATTACGGCGTCCCCCCTTTTTCTTCTCTTGCGTCCTATCGATTCCATGTGTTTCACTGTGCTTTTGCGTCTACTATGATGAATGAATCTTGGAATGTTCGTTTTCTTGCACTGGTAGCTTTATGGGGGTCGTCGGGACTGTAGTAGTTAAGGTTGATCTACGACTGAATGGACTACTGCAACTGAAGGTCCTAAGTGTTATTCCCGTGACGAGTATATTTATCGCATTGATTATCCGTATTATTAGATCTAGAGTTGAATTCCAGGAAGATTCATTGCCATCTGTTTACTTATTTATGTATCTGCAGAGGTTTTGATCATAAAAACAAAAACAGCCGGGTCTTGGCGCTCCACCCACCAGAGCCGCTTGCCGTAAAAGGTCTGGAATTCGGTGACTTGGACCTTCGACTGCGAGTGAACGAACTGCTTTCTTCCCCCTTCCTTCATCATTCATCCATCCCTCTCTCCCCAACAACCATTCATCTCTCTCCCCCCCCCCTTCTTCTTTTCTTTCCCTTCCCCTTATTCTTTTCCTGGTTCTTTCTTCCTCTCTTCTGAGGATTTGATTAATACTTCTTCCCTGTATTGGTGATTATTCTTCTTCCTAATCAAACCAGTGTGGGTGCTTGAATTTTCTGCATCATTTTCCCATCAACAAATTTTCGACGTGCGACGCGCCCCTTTCCCTTGATATCACCGCTCTTGTTGCCAACCAGATTCTAGTTATTCGATAATCTCCGTCAATATGTCCACAGAGTATGATCACGAAAACGGTCGCTATGACGGTAGGTTCGATTGTTACATCAGCATCTTCGGCATCGCCCTGGGAACACCATAGCAATACTAATCCGTCTGCTTCCACGCGCATCAGACGAACCTCGCTTCTCTCGCGACGAACGCAGCGCATCTCCTCGCGATGAGCCTCGTGCCGATCGCGCCCGTAGCCGCTCTCCCAATGGTCGCGCCGATGACCGGTATGTCGCAGGACCGGAAACTTCGCCACGTGCTGGGCGTTGGCTGAATCTGAGAAACCACAAAAGAAACTAACTCACCATTCTCTTTTCAGGGCTCCTATCGAGCCGCGTAAGCCTCTTGAAGATGAGGAGGGTGCGGTTAACACTGGCTCCAACCTTTTCGTCACCGGCATTCACCCCCGTCTGACCGAGTCCGATATTTCGCGTCTTTTCGAGAAATATGGTGATGTCGAGAGCTGCTCGATCATGGTCGACCCCCACACCAAGGAATCTCGTGGCTTCGGATTCGTCAAGATGGTGACTGCTGAACAAGCCGACGCCGCCAAGGAAGGCTTGCAGGGTGAGGTCATCGAGGGCCGTACTCTCAGCATTGAGAAGGCTCGTCGTAGCCGCCCTCGCACCCCGACCCCCGGCAAATACTTCGGACCCCCCAAGCGTGGTCAGTAACTCTTGAGCCCGGATCGGTAACCCCAATCGACTCACAGCATTTGCAGACTTCCGGGGCGGTGGCCGCGGACGTGGTGACCGCTACGACGACCGACGTGGCCCTTACGGAGGCGGAGGCAGCTGGCGTCGCAATGACGATTACCGCTATGGCCGCTACGACTCTTACAGTGACCGCCGCGACTATGGTGGCCGCGGTGACTACCGGGATTACCGCCGTGACTACCGGGACGACTACGGTAGCTACCGTGGAATCGATCGTTATGCTTCGGGAGGACGGGAAGACCGGTACAGTCGCGATGAACGCCGCGATGACCGCCGCGAAGAGCGCCGTGGCTATTATGATCGCGATGCTAACCCTCCCAGTTACAGCCATGGTGGTGCTCCTCCTCCTCCCCGCGAGGCTTATTCCGGCGGCGGCGGCGGCGGTGGTGGTCGCTCGTATGACCCTCGTGAAGACCGATATGGTAGCAGGTAGGTGCAGGGTTGGCAGTTATCGACGATGAAAAATCAGGGTCATGGCACGTAATTCTTTTCCCCCATCTCTAGTCTCCGTCTAGGCTTCCCCTTTTCGTTTCTTTTGTTACTCCCCCTTGTCCTTTTTTTGTGTGACATTCCAACGCCCATCCACATTCCCTGGAATGGTTTCTTAATTCAATACCCGCTGCCTATGGGGAATGAGCTCAACGGTCCACGGTGGAATGTCGGTTACATGTTGTTCGTGATTTTTATCGGAAAAAGTCGTCTGCGCAGTTACTACTTTTCATCTCGGCGACATTCGGTACGCCATCAGTTATGCGACCATTTTAACCCTGTCAGAAAACCAAAGGAGAAAAAAAAAAAAAAGGGAAGAACAAGATACTCTTGTGTCGTCGGTCTGCAGTCGCTAGCTGGAATTTTCTTTTGTTAATTCGCTCGAAACACCGGACAAATTTGGCGGCAGGGAAGGAAAAAAGACATGATATTTACCATAACGTTGTAATTCCTCGGATTGTCAGATGGGTCTCAGCACTTCTACATTGCAACTCTTCCGGAAATTGGTCGTTATCTCGCTAGTCAGCTTGTTCGCCTTGTTGCGTCTTATTCAACCTTTTCTACGTAACGACTGTTCGATCTGTATACGGCCAGAAGCAAAGACATAATATCTATCATGCCATGCACAATTTCTCTTCACGCCTTCTTGAGGACACAAGCAGTTGAACGGAGTTCGGCCATGATCCGCCAGTTCCGCCATCGTGTTGCTTGCGTGCTTGTAGTATCGCCAGTACGACCGAAGTGTACACGTCTAGAACGAGCGGGAGAGAGCCATGTCGACGTAATTGCCGCAGCCATCTTATCAACAGCCGGGGGTTCCACCAACTTCGACCGTTGATGGCCTGTTGGCCTGCCGAGGTAGGTAAGATGGTATCGCGATCCGAGCTAACACGTGGAAAAAGGAGTTCACATATTCTCGTTCCCGGGCGCGGTTCCCATGACCCCGTATTGTTTCTTCCCTTCGTTTTGATTCCAGGGTCAGACGAACTCCATTGCGTGGTGCTGTCGACCAGCCGTGACATGTTACTTGGTTGGTTTGCCGAGTCACTAACAGACAGAACCATGCTTTTCATGGGGGAAGCTCTTGGGTTCATGTCGTTCCATGTCCTAAAGTATAGGGTGAAAAGTGTATACTATTCGGTTTGTTTGTAGGAATAGAGACGTTCTCTGCTGGTCGATTATCTGTTCACTCGGTTTTTCCAGATTAGTCTGACAAGCTGGAGATATCGATCACGGTAGGTACATCACCGGTCGTATCTCATATCAGGACCATCTGTGCAGCAGATCACTCCCCATGGACCCTTCATATTCGAGTTGATCCTAGGAGCGTGTCGTCATTTACGAATAGGAGTTAAAGTAAACCTTTATCACCTTTTGACACATTCCCTAGCAGCCAGTCTGATATATAGCCCAACATGAGTGTGGAGATGTTTCACGGGGAATGTATGTCAATTGAATCAAAGTAAGAAAGGAAGAAAAGGAATATCTACCGCCCTTATCTGAGCAGTAGAGCTCACCATTTCATCGTAGGGATGATTCAGAGTATAAGACGGATAAATATATATCTCCCGCGATACTTTGGCTCATGTTGCTTATCCAAATCCTAGTAACGTATTCTTAGATCGTAGCCAGATCGAACAAAACAATGTATCTAGTACTCTCGCGATCTATGAAACTATATATCTCTCAGCTCATATAGCATCTACACGTCTACACACCAATCCATGAAAGCCAACACACATAAAATATATAGAGAATAACCAAACTCGATTCTCTCATACCGATAACGTTCAAAAAAGATGGTATCATAAAATCCCTAACCCAAAGAATAAAAACACCACAAACCACCCTAAACACCACAAACGAACTATCCTCAATGTCAAGCCCCGAACCTGCGTAGCGGTAGACATACCACGGCGAACGGCATTCAAATTTCCCATGCTCCATCCCAGCTCATCGATGCTGTCCAGCTATACAGCGCATGACTGGCCACCCCGGTAGAAATGTAATATCCATTCTTTCCCGGGATGGAGACGGAGACGAATCGACCAGCGCGCAATATCCCTCCCGCGTCAGGCGAGATAAATTCGATCGCACATCCAGATAATCTCTAATTCATAATAGACTTGAAAAGATTTACTCAGGCGACTTCGCCCCTTCCACCTCATTACTCTTCTGAATCAGGAATTCGCCGAGGACGCGGAGCGGGTTTTGTGGTCTAATTCCATTCCATCATACACCCCGGTTAGTTCAACTCCATGTCCCTGGGCATTGAATATACAAAAATACAAATGACGACTCTGGTAGGGGTATATATGCCCACTCACTGCTCCTTCGTAACATGCTTCATTCCCTCCAGGAGATACGGGACGATCTTCTCGTTCATGTAGACTCGGGCCGGGGCACCGCCGGGTCGGAGTTGGGCGGTTGGGGTAGGTTCGCCGGTCGGGGTATTGGCCGCTGCGGTGTTGGGGGTGGAATCGTTGGCCATGATTGATTGTTTTTCGGTTGTCGAGGTAGTGTCTTTGATGTTTGGGGGAGGGATGGGGGACTGGTGGGTTTTTTGGTTTTCTAGGGTGAGTTCACGTTCAACGTTTCAATCGGGGTTCCGGTTGGGGGTTTATGACGTTTGAGTTTCAGTGATATATGGGATTTGTATATATGTGTGTGTGTATGTGATCAATAGGATCAACGATCAACTTCCGGTAATGGAAAAAAAATGGCAACGGTAGGGCAATTGTAGAATGACAGAGACAAAAAAAAAGATTGAAGTAAAGAAAAGAGTATTCATGGAGCTTTTTTTTTTTTTTTCTTTCGACATTCAAACCAATTCAACCTTGTGGCGGGAGCTCTCTCCACTGTGGGGATTGGGCCTGGTGTGTGCGTTGAACTTGGATTGGTTTGGGCTTTTACTCACTGGGACGTCGGTCATTGTTTGATCCATTTTGGAAACTTGCGTTGTGGGTGTGTATGATCTAGGACTCTATGTGTCTTTTCTTTATAGGAGTAGGTAGGGCTTCAAGTTGTCACATTGGAGGGGGGTTTGTTTGTTTGATTTTGGGTTGTATTGCTTTATTGCTTATGTTGCATGCTCATTGGATGAGTGTGCAAACAGGACAAACGGATGGGTTTTCAATTAAGGTCAGGTGATCTCGTGTCCGGGGTCGTGATTGCGCGCGTGTTGCTTTTGTATATTGGCGTTGGATGGTAGATAAAAGGGTTTCTTGGAAGGTGGGTTCTTTTTTGGTGACTCTCATGCTGATAAGTATGCCCTGGCAGCATGTCCCTATTGGACTACTGGGACACCTTGCGGCCGTCGGTCAAGCGTAGAAAGACTACGACGGATGATACGGACGACACTACTAGTTTGAGCGATGCTGTTACGGACCGGAAAAATGGGCTAGAGATACCGGAGACATCTGTGGTTAATCCGGATGTGTCAGATACTGTGTGTACACCGTGTCTAGGCCCGGAGCTGGAGGGAGATGATGACCTTCCCTTTCCTGCAAGCCAGACGGAACTTGAGTCTTCACTCCCCGCTGTCGATACGGATAGCCATGCAATCGAGGAATATGAGGCCTCTCATACCATTTCTGATCATGAGGAGGAACCCGGACTACGGGAGCGGCTGCAGGATGGTAAGTGGCGGAAGGGGAAGAGCTCCATCTACGTGGATGCGTTCAATCTAGCGCTGGAAACTGTGCTAGATGAGGAGGCGCATCTATTCGACGAGGCCGAGATGGAGGTCTTCAAACAGTGGAAGGAGTTATCATATGAATCACAGTACCTGTACGTCTGCGTCAATATCAGATTGAACCTCCTGGTCATCTATTAACCGAAACAGGTACGTACGGCTCTTCCTCCGAAAGACCTCAGCCTGGCACCGGATCAACAGACTGGGCTACTACTCCGACATCTCAGACCTCACAAGCGTCGTAAACGACCTCCAACGTAGCCGTACTCTCCCCAGCATCCCACCCCCAGCAACCGAACCCCCCATCGACACAGACAACCACCCCGACACCCCTAAACTAGACACCCTATTCCACTTCGCCGACCAAACAGACCAAATCACCACTCTAGAAGAAGCCAGCTCCCTCCTTCTGTTGGACGAACTCAAAACCCTCGCCAAAGACGCCAAAGTCCAAGGCAAAAGCAAAAAGGACCTCCTAACCGCCCTGCACCGCGCCAGCCAACAACAAACCGGCCTCGACTGGACCAGCACCAACAAAGCCACCGCCAATCGCGACAGCCACTTCATCCAGAAGATCCTCGACTACACAGGCGACTGTATCCGTCTCGCCGCGGCGCCGAGGGAACTCTTCGAGCGCGTCCATCTCGTCTTCTACCGCTCGACTGAGTGGACGGAGAAATCCCTCACTACTATCATCCTGGCGAAGATCTCACGCAGGAATTTCCCGGATTATGTCGTTTGTCGGTCCAGTTCGATTTTCCCGTCCCGGGCTTTTCTCTTGGAATTTGAGTCTGCCTTGCGGACGCAGTTTGACATAGACAATATCCTTGAGTTTAGTGGCACGCCGACAGTGTACTTACTCACCCAGGTCCAGGATTATGCCTACAAGGTGTATCCCCGATGGAAGAAGCTCTGCGAGCAGGAGCAGCAAAAGGAAGACCGTGTTTATGAGTGCGGAGAGGGGGCTTACTTGCGACGCTTCTCGCCCGCGTGGGTCTATACACGGATTATCCACAAGGGACTTTACCCGCTAGGCAGGTTCAAGGAGTACAAAGAGGAGCATCGGCTTCTGTCTGAGTTACTGGCTCAGCGACTGTTTCATGCTGCGCGGCGAGGGTCGTGGTATCAGCGGAAGGCACTCCTGGAGGAACACTACATGTGGAATCTGATGTCGTGGGAAGGACGCAGCGAGGACGCGCAACGGAAATATTGGCGACGGATCGCGCTGCAGACTTGTGAGGAGGGACTCCAGGACCCGGACTGCCATTTGATTTACCATTACGATTTGCAGAAGCGGATTATGAAGCTGGAGAGGGCGCTTAAGGTGGTTAAACGCGAGCAACATGATTTTAGTCATGTCATGTTGGCTAAACCGGAGGAACGCACGGTCGAGGGGATTCGTATTGAGCGCGAGGATTCACCTGCGCAGGAGGATACGTCGAAACGGGGGAGACCGACTGTCTGGGTTGATGAGCGGGATGGCGGGGAGTGTCGTGTGGAGAGTATGTGTTTGAGCTGGTATCGGGACCAGGGGTGGAAGGGATATCATTCTGAGGGAGGGATTGTTCGGACGCTGGTGAGTTGGTCCCTTCTTGTAACAGTTGAGACGAAGGAGTGATTGATCCTGATTATGACCCAGTTTGGGTATCTCTTCTACGACATCCTCTTCACCTACGCGCCGAATGTCTTTCAGACGCCTTTCCAGACCTGTCCCTTAGATCTCCATACGGACTCCTTCTACGCTACCCGCGCCTCGGAGATCAACCATCGTCTGGTAGAGATCACCAACGGCGAATCAGAGCGTATCCTCCGCGCTGTTCACGCCCGTGAAGCCCCTCGCCAGCCGTGCGCTATTGGAATCGATTGGTCCTTTGAGCTGGATGACCTCGTTGATATCGTGCGGTGTTTCCGTGGCGAGGCCCTCGCGGCTATCTGCAAGGTGCTGGCGCAGGAGTATCAGCAGCGAGGGGGTGGGATTCCGGATCTGTTTCTGTGGCGGGTGGAGAGTCGGGAGGTGATGTTTGTTGAGGTGAAGAGTGAGAATGATCGGTTGAGTGATACTCAGAGATTGTGGATTCATGTTCTCGGGGGTGCTGGGGTGAGAGTGGAACTTTGTAATGCGGTTGCTAGGGAGGTGAGGTATAGATAGTTGTCTACTGGTGTATATACTGTTGTAGATGGGTTGTAGATGTTGATATACCCATACAGATGGAGTAGATTAGGGTATCTGCGGGCGACTCATAGGAGACCAGATACATCTAGCAGAGCCTGTGGGCATGGTATATATCAACATACAGAGTACAGTACATATCCAACATACGACAAAACGAATCACGAGCACATTTACAATATCTACCGAAACAGAACAGATTTGGTCATGAAATTTTATTTTGTTGTCGACGACAGATATAATCCATCACCATCTAATGCCTGCAACACATACACAAGATGACTATAAACCCACCCATTCTCAGGGTAAGGGACCGATTCGAAAAGACCTATCCGTGCCAACACACCAACACCCAACTCAAGCGAGTCAAAATCACTTAAGCAACGAGGGTGGAGGCGGTAGCGGACTCGTAACGCCAGGTGGGGGGCAGGACACCGACGGACTTGTAGTAACGAGACAGACGGTGGATACGGGACTCGATGAGAATGAGACGGAACTTGGAGTCCTTGTCCTTGCGGTTGCGCTCAAGGTGCTTGCGGACGGCAACAGCCTTCTTGATGAGGTGGTACAGATCCTCGGGGAGCTCGGGGGCGAGGCCTGAAAAAAATCACTCTGTCAGCCTTGTTTTGACCAAGCAGAGGCATAATATTGTTTTATATGATGAGGGATAAGGGAACGGGTCAAGGCGCAGACTTTCCCTGAGGGGCAGCCTGCTCTCGACTCGCGTTCGACCATTTCCTTCTCATCTGGGGGTGGGAGGGAGGGGGATTGGCGTACCGCTGGACTTCAAGATACGGAGGATCTTGTTACCTATTCGTCAACTGTTAGACATTGCTCCTGACATCAACGATTGAGGAATTCTGAACATACCAGTGACGTGCTTGACCTGGGCAACACCGTGGGAGTCACGGAGGACAACACCAATCTGGGAGGGGGTAGCACCCTTCTTGGCGAGCTTGCAGATCTGGTCAACAACCTGCTCAGCTAGAATGGGGTCAGTATCATGCGCATTTCTCCTCTGCGACGACGGTACTCACGGGTGGTCTTGAGCCAGGAGGGAGCAGAGCGAGAGTAAGGCAGAGCGGAGGAGGCAATGCCCTTTCCCTTGGAGTGAAGACGACCCATTTTGAATGAAGGTGGTTTTGTCGGATTAGTTGTCGACGACGGTGTTGCGCTGCGCGGGATAGAGTGAAATTTCTTCGAAGTCGAAGATCGTGTCGAAGAAGATTGAAACGGAGGCTGAAGGCGGTGTGCACTCGTGGTGGGTTTGTGGGGTCACGTGGTGCGGGTATGCCTCGCTTAAATTAAGGCTCATCTGGCATCCTTTTTTTTCTTTGCTGATGCCGCCGTTTGGATTCTTTCCTCACCTGCTTTTCGTCGAGTTTGCGACCCAGAGCTTAATGGTGCTCTTTGCGACTCCAATTCCCGGCCCTTTCACTAACGATATTACTGTTCAGCTTCGATTTAAGGTTGGTGCTCCCATGCCTCCCCGGTTATACAGCTTTATATGATGAAACACAACCTTTTTATTTTTTCTGGTACCTCTTATTTTAGGGCAGGTTCTCGTAACCTGCTCAATGAATGGAATGGACTTCTGAAACAAAGCTGTTATCAATCTACGTGTTTATCAGTGGTTTATTCACGCAATTGCTGACTCGTGGATGTTTAGAAACTTTCAGCCTCGCATTATACTGGAGAGATGTGGTTGATAGGTGATATAGAATTCAATAAAGGAACTTATCACTCTGTGATTACTGTTGTCTATGTCGTGATACGTGCCTTGAATCCGTAGTTTGCGAGTGGTATCACTTTCTGGGCTGTACTTTTGTAGCTTCCTAACGCGAGGGCGTGTTGCCCAGTCCCTATACGATTGTCCCTCTCTCCGGAAGAGCGACCATGATGAGCTTTGTCTGGAGGCACAGCGCAAGGCTACACTGAAGGACCTCATCAAAAGGCCGGTGGAAGTCGCACGTATCGTTCCATCGCGCCCCATCTCGAGTTGCCCCTCCGTTATATAAAAAAGCAAACGTCAAACAGACCCACATAATGGTGTAAAGAGGCCGAGAAGGAATGACAAGATCGCGTGTTAGCGACGACCGATGCAGGAGCATCACACCGCTGTTGAAAAATTCTCTCGCAGATCCACTGGAATAACCTACAATGGAATGAATATGCACGTCGAATCCGCATCTGACTCGTCGCGGAACGTGGGAAACCGCCCTTGTGGGGGAGTCGAGAGGAAATCACATCATCCACTGCGTGCGGCATTTTAAGACAATTGCATTGTGTCATTCCACTGCGAGGCTGCAGGAGAGTGGGTTCGACTGCGCCGTTTAGCCCATGTCCAGTTGGCTGCCTGGGCCGATAAGAGCGATGCGAACAGTCTGGGTGGTTAGTTGAGAGATGATTATATTGAGATGGGGAATGTCTGCTCTGTGTAAACTGGTGGAGATCCACCGTCACTAAAATCTCATCTTCTAAGACATCCTCAGGTCTGGAGGCTGACCGGGCGAGGACTCCTCATCGCCCTGTCTGCGGTGCCTATCTCTGTGAGGTGAGCTCACATCACGAGGCTGGTCCAGAGCGGATAGACGGGCAATGCCGTCGTCACAAATGAGGTCAGAACCGTAGAACATTCACGCTGTGCCCGTCAAGAAAGAGCTTTGACAAGATACCGATCAGCGCTTGGTAGACAGGAGCTGAACCATGTGGGCCAGCCCCAGCTGTGATTTGGTCAGGCGTAGAAAGCTCGAGCAACATCAGCGCCAGGACAGGGTCAAATCAAGCGAATTTACTCTGTATACGGGATGTCGCACAGACGGGGGATGAGCTAGTTGGGAATCCGACAAAGAAACAGAGGTAGATAGAGTCTGGTTACTGGCAGCTCCCGTTGTGATCAGTTGGATTGGCGACGGACCTATGGCGATCACGAGGGTGGCCGTGCCCTTGCCACGATCACTCTCACCACCGTGCAGCGAGCCCCCATTGGGCACCTTCGTGGCCAGGCTCGCCTCACAACCGACCATACAAATGATCGGCCGGGCGGCACTGTGATGGGAATTTGCTATGATCGGTAGTACGGTTGAATTGGCATAGGCGAATGGCCTTTTGGAGAGGTCTGGAACTTCCGGCGATTCTCCGCCGCCCTTCACAGTGGCCGACTCTGGTCGCGAATGATGGCGCGGATTGGCGGAATCCAATTTTCTTGGGGCATTGGTGGTGATACAGTGCTCGGGTATTGATCTCGTTTAATCTGGGCCAAGACTGCATAGGATTTGGTCCGTCAGGTACAGAGTTGCATGGTGGTAAGACGAACGATAGGTCCATCCAACAATGTACTGTATAATTATAGTTATATATCGCCTCGAGTCAGGTGTTTCCCGGATCCAGAGTTACATTACTTGACAGCCGTTGATTCGACTTTCCATCCCCCGTAGGATTCTTATCTGGGGATTCCTTCGCTTTGATTTGTTTCTGATTTCGATCTCCAAGCTCTACCGCTCTGCAATCCTCTGCCATCTGACCTCGTGCGATGTTGCACATTTTAAGATACCCGTTACGTTACTACCGTCTCTATACCGTTCGATCCGGTCCATGAGCTGAAAGGCTAAATTCTCCGACTGGAATGTCGCTTAGGTGTAATTCACAAGCCATCCGTCAGTGGCGCACGACTTTCATTTGCAGCGTAATGACAAAGCGCGTCGTGGCCTGCAAACTCAGTCGGTGAGGCATGAGATCTCCAGCGAAGTCGAATTCCAAATTCCTCTGATTGAGATGTCAAAGCTGTGGAAGATGACGAGGAATCTTCGGTGCAGCGCCGGCGTCTCATCCCTTGCTTCCAACGTACTGGAAACAGTTAAGTGCCATCGACATGAGGAAAGAATGGATTCTTCGATGGAAAGTTCCACGCCAAGAGCCAAACTTTGTGCGGGCGGGAGTGATAATCACCGGCGATATAGCTGGATTTTGCAACAATGGTCGTCCAAGTCGACTAACGTCAACGCGAAACCATAAAAAAGTGGATGCTTCCATCCATGACGCAAGGGGGGGGGAATTATAGCATCCCAGGAAACCCATCCCGATCTGGTTCATGGTACGGATACTCCCCGTGCCAGAGAGAGAAAAGAGCTACGAGACTGATCGACTCAGTAGTACCAACAGTCCAACCTGTCAATCCTAAATCAGGAGTGGTCCTGTCAGGGAGGAGCTTGATCACTGAAACTAATAGGTAAAGGAATCAACTATGGGCTCGGCAGGCTTACTATTACCGATCATACCTGAGGATGTTGCATCTTGACATCCGGTTATCCATACACTATTGAGACCGATCGTCGTCGCGGTCTAAAGCCAAGGCAGAACCTTGATGAGTGCCCATCGACGATGCCGCATCGCAACGAAAACCCATCGCGGAAAAGGCCCAAAAGGGAGTAAGTAAGCTAAAAGCTAATTGCCGCGGCCACACCTCATCTCCGTGACGATCGCTCTGTCAGCCGTGGCGTAGGTTTCCACCTCGTCGATCCATGTTGGGACGAGAGCCTTCCGAGAATGGCAGGTGGGAAGGTTTAGGTAGATGGGAATGGTGAATACGGAGTAGTAGTGCTCCAAGGTTCAGAAGTTTGAAACTCTGGAATCTGGATACGTGCGTACTCCGGAGTTGTATAGTGGACGACCGATGCTCTTTACAGAATAGTATGAGGCTCTACAACAACGTGACTGGAATACCACCGAGAGCAATGTCGGACATCCATTGGACGGATAAATACGTGGTATGGACCAAGAAAAGTCGTACGGGGGTTGTCCAGTGAGGTAGTAGTATTCTTCTTTTTCCCTCCGTCCGCGGAGGCTGAGTCGAATGATTGAATTGTCTTGGTATCCTAGATTAAATTGCCTGGTAGTTGACACCGTGACTCCAGATCCAACCAGTTTGATCTGAATCTGAATATTGTTACTAGTACTAGTTACCCTATGTGACCCAAGATGGGAAGACTAAAAAAAAAAAAAAAAAAAAAAAAAAAAAAAAAAAAAAAACTCAAATCGAATAGACCTGAAAAGATGAAGATGTAATACGGAAACAGGATTCATGTTACAATCTCTCAGCACAAAAGAATAGTGCTTATC